GTGAGCTGACAGGAGGTATAAAAACAGCACAGGGCTGGGGTTTGGAGCGTCACGATGCTGGATGCCTCAGGTACTGAAACCCAGCCAGCACTGATTGGAAATGATCCCTCATTAAGCTCATACACTGTGAGCTGCAGGGATTTGGCAGAGACTGGTGGCTGTATGGGGCAGGTTGGTTGTCACCTTTAAGTCTCAGTTTAATTGGTAATTTCATGGTGTGTATTTCCATTGCGCAGGTATATGAAAACTTGCTGTTTCTGAAAAGAGCCTTAAATGGCATTTTTCCAAATAAGTAGGATAACCCCTGTAACCCCAGATTAGTTAAACCCTGTTTGTGAGCATGAGCCCAGATCACTTGCAGGAACCACGCCCCCCGGCTCAATGTATCTCTTCTGAATACTGACAGCTGCTTCCTTTTAGTCCTGGTTACTGGTAATATAAAACCAGGTAAACTGGGTAAACCGGCTTTATCGGTGTGAGGTTTTATCTTATCATGCTAGACTGCTGAGCGTTTCCCTGCCCTGGTTCTCCTTGGTTGCATGAGGTTCCTTCTGTGACTCTTTATGTGCCTGATCTCCCAGACCCTGTTACGCAAGCGACTGCTGATCCCGACCCCCATCTAGGTGTGCCTGAGTGTTTCACCTTCACCGTGTCCCCATGAGTGTTTGCCTTTTCCCTCACTCCCCAGGGTAGATTACCCTGCTTTCTGATCTCTGTTACCAACCCTGACTTTGATTCCCATACTGTGATTTGTCTCTTTGACTGCACCCTGTTTGGGACCCAGAGTAACCCACAGTGACCTTAGTATGATTAATCCGCTCAGATCTATAAATCTGTTGAATCTAGGGAAGAAAACTGATACAACATGATCACAAGCCAGCTGTTATCTTCTCTTCAGGTTCATACTCACTCTGAATGAGCCCACAGCCTCTCTCAGCTCCTGCAGCTCCTTCTCTCTCATCTGAATTCTCTGCTGAAATTCCCTCTGTGTTTCTCCCATTTGTTTCTATAGATTGGAAAGAAGATGACAAAATAAGTTTGTTTTATTAGCTGAGATAAAATTCTCTATTCACCCTATTCAGTTTGGACCGCAGCCTTGTGCCCTATGCTGCCTGGGAAAGGCTCCAGGTCCCCATGATTCTGACTAGGATAAGCGGATAGGAGATGGATGGATGGATTCATGGATGGATGGATGGACGGACGGATATTCTTAAATGATTGATTGACTGTAGGTAGGATAAACTGGACACAGACCCTTTGACTCACCATCATTGTACTGAGCTGTTATTTCTGCACTTGTGACCCTCCTGTTATCTTTAACAATTCTAGCTATTCTCGTCTGACTTCTCTCATTAACAAGGTATTTTCACCCACAGACCCACCACAGGTGTTTATGTTCATTGCACCATTCTCAGTAAACTCTACACACTGCAGTGTGTTAAAATCCCAGGATGGTGGCTGTTTCTGAGATGCTGGACCCACAGCATTTGGCGGCAACAATCACACCACAGCCTCTTAGCTCACACATCTTAGCCATTCAGATGCTCAGCAAACAGTAAGTGAACCTCTGAACCCTGTTTGCTTGCTGTATGTATCCAGCTGCAGCCACATGATTCACTGTTTAAAGGAGTTTTCAGTAGGAATTCAATGAGAACTTTTTACACTTTATAACAACATTTTGTATTTTCAGTTCATTTTTCTTTCACTTTCCCAAACCAGACTTGATATTGGTGTCTTTATAGCACATAAACTCAAATGCATTAAGACAAAAGCCTTTTTTTTTTTTCAAATAAAAGTTATAATTTATATATGAGTATTTTTGGCCTGACCTCCTTTTGTGCAGCAGCTGAGACTGTATCATGGCCTCTGTGTTCATCCATTGTACAGAGATAACAGATACACTGCTGGTCGGTACGGCAGTAGACCTCCAGTGGTCTGTCATGCTGGGAACAGACCATGTCCTGCAGATGTCCAGTGGCATCAGTCAGCTTGTGCTTCTTAAAAGCTGGAGACTCATAGTGAGGCTGGAGGTGAGTTTCACAGTAAGAGGCCAGACACACCAGGCAGGACTTGGCAGCTTTGTGTTTTCTCCCAGTACAGAAATCACACTCCACATCTCCTGGTCCAGCATGATGGTCAGCAGGAGTAGCTGCTTGTAGTCCAGTCTTCTTAAGTATCTCCACCACCTCAGCCAGCATGGTGTTTCTGCGCAGAACAGGTCTGGGTATGAAGGTCTGTCTGCACTGGGGGCAGCTGTAAACTCCAAGACGATCCTCCTGATCCCAGCAGCTCTTAATGCAGCTCGTACAGTAACTGTGTCCACAGCCTATAGTCACTGGATCCTTCAGTTGATCCAGACAGATTGCACAGCTGAACTGGTTCGGATCCAGTGCGGAATTGGCTTTTGCCATTTTACCACAAACACTGATAGGATTCAGTTTCGTCGTCTGTGTGTGTGAGAGTGAGAGGAACTTCCTGCTTCTCAGGTTGCTGTAGGTGTGGTTTTGGACTGAGGCCAGACTGAGAAGAGCAGACTGGGCAAACACTGGGTTTTGAAGTTTATGAGTAAAATATTACATTATACAAACTGTACACACAACAGACATTTATTTAGCTTTTATGCATTTAACTGTTACTGATTTCCCACAGATAAGCTATAATCTTAGGATTAGATTTTTTTAGGTAGAAATTACATAGAAAGGTATAAGAGAGCAGTTCTATTGAGAATGAATTTCTGTGTCTGTTTAGATAATTGTCTTTGCTTCTTTCTCCAGATGAAGCACATTTACTGGAAAAATGTAATTTGATTTGTTTTGAAACTATCATGTGGTATTAGGTATAGCATACAGGTATGTGCAATTATAGGTTAAGACATCAGTTTCATTAAACACTTATTTAGTTAAAATCTCATATTTAAGCCATAAGTTAATGGATCAGGTTCAGCCAAACCCAGGAACAGAAAGATTAAATACTAGATAAAATATCCAACAAATTCCAATAACCGCTTATCCAGTACAGGGTTATGGAGCCAATCACAGGAAGCACAGGGCACAGGGCAGGGACACCCTGGGTGGGATGCCAGTCCATCACAGGAAAAAACACTCACTCACAGGCTGAGGACAATTTAAAGACACTAATTCACCAAACTGCATGATCTTGGACTGTGGGAGGAAACCCAACGGAACACGGGGAGAACATGCAAGCTGTACATGCAGAACCAGGAGTGGGAACCAGACCCACAAGCCTGGAGGCATGAAGTGAGAGCAGCTGGTCTGAAGTCCTGAAGGGAGCTGGAGCCCTTTCTTTGGAACAGTGTGGATCCGTCCTCCATTACTGCTTATCCTGTACAGGGGTGAGGGGAGCCTGGAGCCTGTCCCAGGGGNCAGGAGATTGTCTTGACCAGGACCACACCCCTAAATGCATTGAAGCAACTGCCATGTGATTGGTTGATTAGATAATTGCATTAACGAGAAATTGAACAGGTGTTCCTAATAATCCTTTAGGTGAGTGTATATACACGTATATTATTCAGCATCGACACCCTTTCTGCTTTTTATATATTGCTTTTTTATTGTGAATAGTCAAGCTGAACATTTTTGTTGAACACCAGCGCTGTGTTTGTCAAACAACGTAACCTTGAGACAGATTTATTATCCGATCCCACAATTCGTTGAGTCACATGACCAGGCGCAAAAAAGACGGGAAAAAATGAATCATAGAATCGGTTTTAGAATCGATTCATTACAACGGACAGTTCGAAAGAATCGAATCAGTTAATTGAGCCTAACTTCCCATCACTAATATTTACGTTGAAACAATGTTGTCAACATAAAAACAGGATTTCAGCTGTTATTCAACGTTGTGACAATGTCGGAAAAACAGTAAGTAACTGGCAGCACGGTTGCCAGCAAGTTATACTGTTAAATTAACAGTGTCTTGCTGTTGTTGAAATTTACAGTTTGTTGCTGTTTTCGAAAATACAGCATGAAGCTGTTATTTTCTACATTAACAGTACATTGCTGTCAAAAGAATTAATAGTTAATTAATGTTATTTTTTTTCTGTATGTTATACTGAGAAATGGACTGCTAATAAAAAAGGTGAAATTATTTTCCTAGATATTTCATTGATTTGCTAAAAAAACATGCTTTAGTACAATGCACAAACATTAAAAATGTAACACAATGCAGTGTAACTTCAAAACTTGCTTTAGTATACCTTTGAAAAACAAAAGCCACTTTTAATCACAAGATATTACTAAAATTAGTGGCTGTAGCACAGCAAGTGGAATGACTAAACAAACTTAAGCTTCAGAATTAAATTTTAACTCAATAAACACAACATTCATATAACATTAGAACAAACTAAATGACTCAGAGAACTGAGTGAATAAGAATGACTGAATTACTGAATTATTAGTGAATATAAATTAAAGAAAAAATTCAATGTAGAATGAAGTCAAAATGTAGGTATTCAAGAATGAACACCTGAAAAAAATTGTGCGATTAACACACTAAAAGAATGTTTTTGTCATGAGTGAAGAGTATGTGTAAGGTGTGTGTGTGTGGTATATCAGTGAATGAGTGGGTTCACTTATATGAAATCCCACTCGAAGTCCATTAGCTTCTTAAGTAGACTGGCAACCCGAGTGTTGACTGTTTTCTTCTTGTGGGTGACCTTCCCTGTCCGCTTTGATAGGACGTTTCCACCCTTGGTGCCTTTTTCAGGGTTTATACCAATGAAGCGCCTGAAAAACAAATGCGTACATTCAGAATTAGTGTCACGTTACGGGATGAAGGCGAGCAGGGAAGCAGGAGAGCAAGCCAGGACTTCTGGAAAACTGGGTTTATTCGGATGAAGACGGACGGGTACGGACATCGACATGACAATACAATGACTAATCTGGGGAAGACGGACTCAGACGAGGACTAAATACACAAGACAAGCTAGACTTAACAGGACACAGGCAATCACAATTAGGGCTGAACACGAGGTAACGAGGTGGGCGTGGCACACATCGGGAGCGGACGGAGCGGGGCGTGACAATTAGTGTGGGTAAAAGTTTACATAACAAGAATGTGAAGAGAAATTAATCTATGAATTTAAGCATCTAACCTCTGAATGAATTCCAATGTGCATGCAGCTTCCACTTGGTACTCCACATTGAAATTGTAGATAATCGAAAACACAGCTGCAAGACCAGACAGAAAACTTGGCTGGATGCTCTCACAAATTACTTGCCCCTCAAAACTGATCATCCATTTATTAATGTAGCTTCCTGGTTTTTCACCTAAAACATTCCCAAGAAAAAGCAGTCAGCAGTCACATAAAATATTAATTTTCTACTGCCAGAAACTAAAATCATTGTTCTTTTATCATAACGAATGCATTTCAAAATGTTGATTGTGGACAACATGAAGTCAACATGTGTATATATTGTGTATTGTGAAACTGTTGCTGCAATTGTTATGATTTAACTCAATATTTTTGCTCAATATACTGTAGATGAAGGGTTACAAAATTAAAATTTAATAATGCATTAAAATTTAGTAAGTACCTTCCCACCTTCAAAGAAAAATTGAATCTATTTTTAATATTCTTTCATTATTGTTCATCCATTAAAAGTCAAGTCAAAACCATGGTAAATGGAAACTCAAACATGCTAGCCTGACAGACAAGAACGAACTTCATTGGTTCTCACATGTCATCTAAGCATGTTTCAGCTTTTTTGCTCTACAGGTATGTATGATGAATGTTTATACATGAATGAACAAAATTAAATCAATACATTTACAACAACTTTATGAACGTTTTGAAGCATTAAAGTTTTTTTTTTGGACTTTCATTTGATGAACAAAAATGATGAAAGAATTTTAATAATATAATCATTTGTTTTCCGAAGATGAATGAAGTCTGAAAGGCTTGGAATGGCATTAGTGTGGGTAAAAGATGACAGAATATTTATTTTGTGTATTTTTGTATATTGCTTTGTACAAAATAATTTACCATGTTTGCTGAAATACAGAAAAAAAACACCCTTAGTGGCTTATGTAAAAAATGTTTTATACATACCAAGGAGAATCAGTCGAGGAGTTGCAGGTAGTTCAAGTGTTCTTTCTACATCAGCTGCAGTTGAAGATGCCTAAGACACAGTTACAATAATGAGGACATAGAGGCAAAATACACTAATAATAATGCCTTGTATGCATTAAATTTTTTTATTAACAATAATACCCATTATAGAAAAAAAAAAAACTTACATTTGCAAAAAGGATCAGCCCTTCCTGAGTCTCAGAGAAGTGAGCCATGAGAAGTTGGATGACGCAGAGGGAAAGCTCGAGGTCTGGCCGCAGAGAAATGACTGCCCTGACATCTGCATTGGAGGGTTTGTTGCTGAAAAACTCCATAATGGCTCTTCCACACTCTTCCATGGCAAGCTCAAGTGCACGCATAACTTTGATATCAGTAAGAAGCTCAAAATGAGCATGAAGCCCTTTTTGAGTGAAAAGGTATGGCCACTGCTGTTTTAAATCAGCGATGGTGGGTGCTGGTAATATGTTTATTTGCTGCCGCTGGAGGCAAAAGGTTGTTTCCATAAGTTGCTTAACTTCTGCTTTTTCAACCCCATTTATTCCATCTCGATGGTATATCTCCTCCAGTCGCTGACGTTTCTGCTCTATGGTTTCGTCTGTCTCCTCTGGTGGGAGATCAGGCTGAAATCTGGTGCAGCCATATGTATCAGTAGGCCCTCTCTTCAGTCCATCACTAGACGAACGGTGTTGGCGAAAGCTGGTGGTGCGGTTAAGATTTTCAATTCGGTTTTTAATTTGAATTAACAGTGAGGTATAACCATTTCCTAATACCTGACCATTGTCACGGAGATCGGCAAAACTTTGAGGATACTGGCGGATGATGTTTCGACAAACTGTGACACATTGTCCGCGTGTTGGGTATAGCTCATATTTCCTCATCTCATCTGCCAAAACTCTGACCATTTGTCGCCTTGCTGCTGGTGAAGGTCTCTTGCCATCAGCCAGTGCTGAACGAATGTCCATAGGCATTGCAGTCCAAGGAATCTGAAATGTCTCTGGCCATGTTTTTTTGATTTGGGAGGATGGACCGCAGTTTTCGGAGCTGCTAGATTCTTGATTTGAGAGTCCACTTGATGCACTGGAGCAAGGAAGGACTGAAGGAGAGCTGACTTGTGGTGTGGGGGAAGGAAGAATTTGTAGGTCCAAAGAGACCACCTCTGTCTCTGAAATAGGAAAAGCAGAGGCAACTTTAAAAAAAAAAAAAAAAAACTCTAAGTTTCTCTACGGTCACCTCTAAGGCCTGTAAATAATATGAGATGAATTATGAGATTAAGCAAGTTTTAATTTATCATTCAAAAAATATATAATAAAATATTGGTCCCCTCAAAGGGCTGTAAATAAAACATTAATGACTGGAAATATCTGTATCCTGTAAAGGCCTGTAAAAAATATGAGATTAACCATAGGAGATTAACCAAGTTTTGTTTTACAATAATAATAATAATAATAATAATAATATAATAATAATAATAATAATAATAATAAAATAAAACACTGGTCACCTTGAAGGCCTGTAAATCAAACATTAAGTGATTGGAAATATCTGTAACTTGCAGGTCACGTGCTAAATTGAGCACAATGTACATTTACAACTATTTACAACTATCAGTGTGCATTAGCACAAAGACAATTGGTAAATATGCAGGAAGTCCTGGAAATTATCAATTACACTTGTAAAACAGTGCAAGTTAGAAATAAGTTTCCTGTACTTATAAGAAGCTTTAAAGGAGTAGTTTACTGCCAAAACAAAAATTTACAGATAATGTACTCACCTCATTGTCATCCAAGCTGTTCATGCCTTTCTTTCTTCAGTCATAGATAAATTATGTTTTTTGAGGAAAACATTTCAGGAATTATCTCCAATTAGTGGACTTCAATGGTGCCCCCGAGTTTGAACGTTCAAAATGCAGTTTCAATGCAGCTTCAAAGGGATCTATACGATCTCAGCAAAGGAATAAGGGTCTTATCTAGTAAACGATCTGGCATTTTCTAAAATAAATAAATAAAATAAAATAAATGTGTATATACTTTTTAACCTCAAATGCTCATTATGTCTAGCTCTGCAATGCGCGTGCATACTCTGTGTAATCCGGATCAATACAGTAGCATGTCAAAAATCTAATTTTAACTTCCAAATTCGCTGTTTTACCTTTTTTTGTAAAGGGCATTTGAACTTCCTTGCATGTTCACTTTGTAAACACTGGGTCAGTACTTCTGCAGTGATGTTGGATGAAGAAAATGAGATGAAAGTTTTTCGACATACCCAACTGTATTGACCCGGATTATACAGAGTATGCATGCACATTGCAGAGCTAGACAAGACAAGCATTTGAAGTTAAAGGGTATATACATTTTTATTTTGATTTTTTTTGTAAATGACAGATCGTTTTACAAGATAAGACCTTCTACCTCGGCTGGGATCATTTAGAGCCCTTTGAAGCTGCATTTAAACTGCATTTTGGATGGTCAAACTCGCGGACACCACTCAAGCTATATGGAGACAATTCCTCAAAAAACATACTTTCTTTATGAATGAGGAAAGAAAGACATGAACATCTTGACAATGGTTGAGTACGTTACCTGTAATTTTTTTGTTCTGGAAGTGAACTACTTCGCTGTTCTGGAAGGGAACTATTTATTACCTTTTTTAAATGCTTCCAGAAGCTTCCGTAGTTGAATGGCCGGTAGTAGGTCAGCAATATCTTCTTGAGTCACATATTTCAGGTCTTGTGTAGATTCCAGACCGGAGTTTAATAGCTTGTCTATCAATGCCTGTAGAGTGTCTTTGGAAATTGTTGGCAAAATTCTGAGGATGATCTTCATTCACAATGCTCATTGCCCTACAAAGAGGGAAAAGAATGGTGAAGAACAATTATTGCCATGTCATGAATTGCATACTGAGGTAGAGGGTAATAATCCAGTAGGTCCTCCTGGTTCACACAGTAGTAACAGCTCTTGATTGGTGTGATGCAGTGAACACCTACATCATGTAGACACAAAGCCTTATACTTTTCAGTAACGAAGTAGACTGCAGAGTTTTTATGATTAAGTATCATAATAATCTTACCAACTTCAAGCCCATCCTCATCGTTACTGATAACAACAAACATGCTTTTTTTGTATTTGGTTCCTTTTACAGTCGCTTCATGACTAATCAAAGTACTTTCAGGTCCAAAATCATAATTCCCATCACTGTAGTCACATGGAAAAAACTCAGTTGCCTTTTCTACTACAATTGATGGTGGGAAGAGTTTTCCAGCGCTGAGATATGCTTGTAAAAGCTGGTTTCTTTCTACAAGGCTTGAGCACACATTCTTAAAGTTACGCAGTTTTCTTGTGCACCGTTTAAAGTATGTGTGCTTGCTTTCAAACCTCATAGTCCACAAGCGAATAAGTGGACCAAACTGAATGATGAGCTCTGGATAGTGGCTCAAGTAATGATGCTTAGGTTTAAGCCGATGATGAGGAAAGGCTTGTTTTCTGGAATGCAAGTATTCCTCAATAAGGACCCTTAAATAGCCTATCTGGTCAGCAGAAATTGCTGGTGCACAAATCAATGCCACAATTTCTCTTAGTTGTAACACCAATTGCCATATCTCATTGTCAGCAGGAGAAGTAATTTTCTCTCCGATCAACACTGGTAACAGTCTCAGTAGGCACCAGTTCTGCACAGCATGGCCACTCAGTCTATCACTTCCTGGTCTCACCACACAAGGTTTGTCCTTTGCATCATTACCTAAATATCGAGACTGATCAATTATCCGATTTAATTCAGTGTAAGTGAACTGTTTGTCAACAGTGACAAGATGATTGATACACAATGCAAGATCAGAGGCAACAACGCCTTCAAACAAATCATGCCCAAGACACGGAAGCAACCCAGGTTGACAGACATGAAACATAGACAGGCTGTTGAATAAGGAGTCAAATTTAATACCTCCGCTATGAACAGAATGCTCCTCGAGGTTCTGAACATGCTCTTTGTATGACTCTGGTGTCCGAGTGTTGGCTTTGGACAAAGGATCTGCCTGAAACACATCTTTTTCAATTTCACAATATCGACAGAAGTACCTATTGCCACTGAAATTTTCAAGAAAACCTCCGATGTTGTGTGAACCGAGGTTGTCTCCTGCAATGGCTCGCAAGATTCCTCTGCATACCTGTCCATCAGGTAGCACTATGCCATTAGTCTCAAGGTCTTGAAGGTCTTTCATCAAGCCTCCCATGACCAATTCCTGACCAAAATACTTGAAATCTTGTTCTCTACACAGAAAAACCAGTTGCATTTGGTCAATACTTGACCGGTTGTATGGCAATAGGTCTGCAAGTGTGAGATACATGGCTAGTATTTTGTGTTTTTTCTTTTCTGACCCCAAGGGATTCACAACTTCAAATGAATCTTGATAAAGTATCAAGCCTAAAGATGACCTTTCTGTCTGAGCCAAATTTTTTGTGGTGTTTTCACCATCCCACAGATCTTCAAAAATATCCTTCAACTGGATACGGCTGTGTACTTCTCTGTACTGATTCCAAACCGACTCACAACGAAAAAGGGCCTCAATTGTCTGTTTTACAGGGACGTACTGTAAAAAACGCTCTTTGCCAGCTTCATTATGTCCTAGACAAATGGGAATGGGTTCAACATAATTAAAACTGTTCTTGAACACGGTTTTCCTGCGCTGATCTGTTTTTAGTGTGTGGCTATTACATGCTCGTAAGAGATCATCTGCTTTCAGACTGTCCATGACATCATTAATGGAAGCCTCTGGAACCCCAAGTGCAACCAATTTCTCATTTAGTTTAAAGAGTAGATGTGACTGGTTGACATCATAAACTGACTGCATGTCTTCAATGATAGTCTGAATGACTGACGATGGAAGCAATAACTTAGCCTGTAATTTCAGGTAAAAGAGAGCCAGATTCTTTAAAAACAATGTCTCATTGATATTTTCTGGACTAACCTCTAAATTCTCACTATTTCCAACTACACCAGTATACTGTATATACAGCGCCCTCCACAATTATTGGCACCCCATGTAAAGATTTGTAAAATCTTTTGGTGAAGCAGCTTTCATGTCACACGGAAAATTGAGAAAAATCCAACCTTTCATTAACATAAATTTATTCCAAGGAAAAAATCCTTCATCAATAAATAATTATCTTCAACAAAAACACACGTGCCACGATTACATAAGAAAATTACAAACGAGAGGAGGCCATTCGATCCATCAAGCTCGTTTGGGGAGAACTTAACTAATAGCTCACAGTTGTTAAAATCTCATCTAGCTCTGATTTAAAGGAACCCAGGGTTTTAGCTTGCGTTACACTAGTAGGGAGACTATTTAAATACTCCAACTACACGCTGTGTAAAGAACTGCTTCCTCAAATTTATTTTAAAATGTTCTCCCGCTAATTTCCACTTATGGCGTAAACTCATTTACTATATCAATTTCATTTAATCAATTATAAGCAGCGCCGCCGGTAACACTTTATTACTTCTTCCATAGGAGTTACTAAAGAACAAGAACAGTATAAACAAGCCTGTTATTCCAAAAGGGAAAAAATGGCAAAAATCATTGAGAACAGTAGCCTGTAAGTTCCTGTTAGTCCAAAAAAAAAAAAGCACTGTTCATTTGATGAGTAATGAACTAGTAGTTATAAATAATCCATAGTTAGTACATAATTCCCAATGAGATCAGCAATACTCAATAGTTCCTAATGAAGTAATAGCGAACTACTATAATAATTAGTTCACTATTACCTATTGAGTAATTAAGCATAATTCCTTAGTAGTTAATAGTACCGATTTAGGTGTTAATGAAGCACTACTCCTTTGTTGCTGCTTACTTCTTGCATATTTACCTGTTAACGACGGAACAGTATTATAAAGTGTTACCGCGCCGCCCCTCCCTACACGCAGAACACGCGCTGTGCGTAGGGCCCCACGATCCAGGGGGGGGGGGGCATTTTCCACAAGGGGACACATTCTCTGCAAATGCGCAAACGATGTGCATCGCTGCCGTGAGGCGCTCGTAGAGCACCAAGTCAGCCCAAGGCAGGAGAGAAAAAAAAGAGACGAGTAATCTTACATGACACACGTTGCCGCAGTGATTGACAGCACGCAGCATCTGACCAATCAGCGGTCAAATACGCCGACAGGCAGTTCCATGCAGGTAGAGAGATGGCCTCCAAATGGCAATACGAATTGGGAGCAAGAGAAAGAAAAAGGAGGATCGTGCTTCACTTGAATGTGGGTATGTTGTTGAAATAAAAAAGAAACATTTTGTGGCACAAACACCCTAACTGCTACCCTGCTAATCATGAGACAGAAGAGAGGATAATTCTGTCTAGATGTTGACCGGAGATTAACCCTCCGGGGACGACGCGTATCTTTCTCGTGTATTTCCGTTTATATCTGAAATCTTCATGTAGAATCATGAAAAAACGCTGGCTAAATCCGTAATCTGTCTTCTTTTCAAAACTTCCATTGTCGGAA